CCACCCAGGCACCCCAACACTGGCAGTATCTTGAAGCGATTTTAGAAATTTGTAGACACAAGTTACTGTAATATTTTTTGTTTACAGCAACCAGTAGTAAGGCAGAGTGGTGGTTAAATGCCATTTTGTTAGCTAGGACCATAATGGAATGATGTCATTTTGCAGAAACTAAGAATACAAGTTATTAAAAGTAAGGGACAGGATACCTTCTTGCTTTCTTTGGCTATACATCCCCAGCATCCTTAGGATGTTATATGTACCAAGAGAGACTGGTTAGAGGGTGTGGGTGGACCAATCCAGACCCTGTTACAGAAAGCCGAGGAGCATGGTTTGAGTATTAAAGATTAGTACCCTCCCCTTTACTGACCATTCATTGAACTTGTATTTTCCAAGACTCTCTTTAAGCAACTAATTTCTTTCCTAATAGAGATGCTGGGGTGGAAATAAAGCGCATTAGTATTAGTAAACATGTTAGTAACCATACACAAAAAATATATTTGTATATATGTCTTTTTGTCTATAAGAGTTTCCCACAATCTTTAGTTTCTGATTTGAGGGCAAAAACTCTTCTATGTAACAATCTGGCTACTTTTTCCTACCTTTTCAAAGTCGTCAAAACAAAATCTTTAATGCCTGAATCTCTCTGAAGTGCCTCGTAATGAGCTTATTGTTAGGGCAAGGTAACTTGACATTCCCATTTCTAATCAATAGCCAGCTTTCAAAGCATTTGAGTGGCTCTAATTGGATCTCCAAATGTGTTCTGGACTAGTCTGAGGCTTGAAAGATAGCCTGCTTCCATTTCTGAATATGGGCCAAATTTGGTGGAGTTGCTAACCTCTTAAAAAATCAACAGAGGGAAATCTGGCTGGCTCAGTTGGTGGAATGTGAGACTCTTGATCTTGGGATTGTGAGTTCAACCCCCACATTGAGCATAGAGCCTACTTTAAAAAAATAAAGAATTAAAAAATCAACAGTATAGAGTCACCTAGGTGGCTCAGTCAGTTGAGCATCCAACTCTTGATTTCGGCTCAGGTCATGATCTCATGGGATTGAGCCCTGTGTCAGGCTCTGTGCTGAGTGTGGAGCCTGCTTGGGATTCTCTCTCTCTCTCTCTCTCTCTCTCTCTCTCTCTCTCTCTCTCAAAAATCAACAGTAGAAGTGAGAGTGATTGCAACCAGCTGGGGAAATGGTAAATTAAAGAGTATGAGGTCTTAAAAATCCAAGATGAAAGTAACAAAAGAGTCCCCTAGATTTGGAGAGAAAATGAGTGACCTGAACAGAGGTCAGCAACCCAGCACGCTTGCCCTAGGAATCACTTACAAAGAAATGGGGTCATTATGGAGTCAAAATGGCCTGGATTCCAACTCCAACTCGCTCACTTACAAGCTCTGAACCTCAGTTCCTCATCCATAAAGTGAAAATAATGGTGTCAATTTCATAAGGCTTTTGTGAAGGTTACATCAGATAACACTGGGGTTTCCCCCTTTACTAGATCATCCAGGTTGGGTTTTCATTATCACTGGCGCCATCATCTTTGCTTGGGCCACTGCCCGTCACTGAGAATCCCCTTCATTCTTTTCAGGCATTCCTTTCCCTCCTTCAAAACTGACTTCTTCCAAGAGGTCTAACCCCATCATCAGATGGAATTGAAGCACGTATGAAACAGATGTCAAAATGACCTAAAGATGGGGGCATCTTGGTGGCTTAGTCAGTTAATTGTCCAACTCTTGATTTGGGCTCAGGTCAAGATCTCCAGGTTCATGAGTTTGAGCCCCATGTTGGGCTTTGCGCTGACTGTCCGGAGACTACTTGGGATTTTCTCTCTCTCTCTTCCTCTCTCTCTGCCCCTCCCCCTTTCCCTCTGAAAGTAAACCAATAAACTTAAAAAAAATCTAAAGATGATGGAAAATATTTCAACAATTAAGTAACTTGGACAACTAATGGGAACAATTCAATGGGAAGAAAGATCCCAGGCTAATCTCTTCTTAATTCCATATCCTTCTAGGCCAAGTTCATCTTATCTACTAACCTATCTAGCTTACTATATATGCATTATTCTGTACTCACTCATAAATGGCATTCACAGCTTTGCAACTGTCTTTTATTTTCATGATTTATTTTTAAGGTTAAATAGTGAATTTCTTGAGGACAACAACTGTGTTTTTTTACTTTCTGTTTGTATTCTCTATCCTTACGCACCTAGCACACTACTGTTCACAAGATAGATGCTCACTAATAGAAAGGATCCTCCTAATCCCACTACTGTCTTGGGGCACACATGTATGAGCAACCTGTTGTATATTATTCCCCCGAGACGGGTGATAGGAATCATAGAACCACTGCTGCTAGTGAGCCCAGTGGAGGATAAAAAACAAATTACACATAAGCTTTGTACTTCACAGCTTATATTTTTAACCCTCGCAACAACCCTATGAGGTAAGTGATAATATTTTCGCCTTATAGATGAGAAAACTAAAATTTAGAGAAGTCAAGTGACTTGCCCAAGGCCACAAAGGTAGAAGGTATCAAAGACCATGTTCAGGCGTAGATCTGACAACTCCAGGCCTAGAGCTCTTTCTATGAGCCAAGGCTGCTGTGCTCCGAGTCATTGGAAGATATTTGGCTAACTGCATTCCAGCAACCTGTCTGGTTGTGGCTCAGCACCCACGGATTTAGAGCAGGACTGATCTGGCCAAGTGGCAGGATAAAGAGAAAAAAGATTAGTTGATTACAGAAGTATGGACCAGCACAGTATGTATGCATGTATTTGTCTGTAGATATACACATATCTGTATACACATGCACACACATATGAATATATGACTATAAGTACACTTTATTTGAACTATGTAGTGTTCAAATCAAGATTGAGTAAATATACTAACATAGTAGTCTAATAAACAGATATTTAATGATCAGGTTCTATGGTATATTTTCTTCCCCCCATTTCCTTTCCACCTATTTTTCCAACGTTTACTCTAGTGTGCAAAAGCTGAATCATATTATCTAAAGAAATAGATCTTACTTTGTTCTCTTCAAAATAGAGATGATTGAGGGTAGAAGGGGTCTAGAGGTGGGAGAAGAAAAGTGATTTTACCAAGAGGCCCAGGACTCAGATGTCAGGTGCCCCCCCCCCACCACCACCACCGATCAGACTCTATCACTGCTGCTCAAACTCCAGGCCATTGGTGCTCCCAGAGGGGCACACCTCAGTTCTCCAGGTTTACTGCCGCAGGAGCCTGGAAGTGACTAGAAAAAGAACTAGGCTTTGTTTGATAGGTCTAATGGATTAGCCCAGCTCAAAATCTACCCTACAGCTACTGAACAGCTAAGAATATAGGCAGGCAAGAAATGACCCAAGATTTCAGGCCCCAATTTGGATTCAAAATGCTCCAGGGTCACTGCCCTGGAAATTATGATGCTTCCAGTTCTGCTCTGTTCTCCCCCTTCCTGCACTGAATGAGACTGGACTCACGCAGATCTAAATCTGAGATTCAGATCTTGAACCATCAGGTGTCCTGAGGGGGAAAAAAAAGTGTAAGTTTGGAATGAAAAAGCTCCAGAGTTCAAATCTTGACTGGGGGACCACAGGCAAGTTACTGTACTCGTACAGCCTTGGAGTTGTAGATTTGTAAAATGAGAATAGTAATTGCTGTGTACAGAGGGTTATTGTGAAGATTGTACTAAGTGCTTAAAGTACCTGTTATAGAGGAAAGACTTCATAAGTGTTATGTTCTGCTGCCAGAACACACCCTGATCACTGCTCCAAAGTTAGCCAGGCCCAGGAGGGGCTAGACTTGGTGGAGCGCTATCTAAACCAACGAGGTCACACTGCTGTCGGACCACCCCTGATGCCAAGCGGTCTTAGCACTGCTCTAATGCTGATTTGACACGGATCAGATCTTTACCAGAGATTTGCATTCAACGGGATCACAGTTTAAGAAGAGAAATGAGAGAAAGAATGGCAACGTTAATAAATGGTTACAAGTTAGAGCCCCTAAAATAATCTTAAATTGTCTTTTACTCGGAGAAAAGAAGATTGAAAGTGAATTTAAAGAACTCTTCAGGACTGTGCACATGGGATAATAAGCAGGATAATTACCCTAATTTCTAAGACCAGAAGAAGAGGAAAGGAGTCGAATTTGCATTAGAGAGGGAGGAAGAAAGACTGAAATTAAGGCAAAACTTCTCTAGAAGATTATTATAACACACTGCAATAGATGACCCTGGGAACCTATGGGATTATCTTCTTTTGAGCTCCCTAAGAAGAGCCCTCCCCTCCCCCGTTTGTCTGGATTGGGAGAGGCACTGACCTGGTCTGCTCCAGAAATCTGAGCAGTAGAGAGGGAGGCGGGTGGGGAATAGTGCCGGGATAGTTTTTGAACCCTGGAAAAGGTACCTTAAAGCTCTTTGAGAGCTCAAGGAAAAGAAACAATGTTGGAGAGACCTGTGACTGGGAGACATGGAATTCAAATACTGAGGAAGGAAGAGACCCAAAGTGGAGAACATGGGGGGCAGGATGGAGGGGGGGCGGGGAGGAAAAAAGAAACAATCCACTGTGTTTCCAAGTGACATGCCATACTCTCCTCCTGGTGGCATCATCCTAACTTCCTTTCTGTGGGCCTCAGTTGCCTTTTCTGTAAACGAAGTGCTTGGATTAAGCACTATCATAGGTCCCCATCTAATTCCGAACTTATGTTCACAAAATCGATCCAGAGAAAACGTGAGGACATCTGTGAAAAGCCACCACAGCTCAAAACCCAGGAAAGAGGGCCAATGAACCGATGCATAGGTGAGAGCTGGGGCTCTGGGGTCAGACCCCCGTAGAGGGTAGAGGATTTGAATTTTCTCTCTGCTCCCCAGCCAGAAGCTAGTTGTTTATCTTCTCTGAGCTTCAAAATCTTCATTTGTAAAACGGGAATGAGAGCTCAACTGAGGTTGTGAGTTTGAATTAGATAATGCAAGTAGCATACTTAGTATAATCATATGGAAGAGCTCCCATGTACCAGGCACGTAAGAATCAACAAAGTGGTACTTAACTGGGTCAGTATTCTTGGAATGAAAAAAATGTTTAAATCTTTCTATTTCTCATTCTTTTATTTCTATCTGTATTGAATCGGTAGACTATACTGTGACCAAATCATATAATTTGTTGTGATGGCGGCATTTGTTTTCAACATCCTTGCCCTTTATTGTTTTAGCAGAATAAATCCTAATTCATTCAGCTTTCCTGAGTGGCATATCAAAATAAACACACCGTCCGTGTTTACTTCTCTAGCTGCCTCTACGTATTCTCTATGGTTTTGAATTTGTAAAGTAGAATTAACAGAGGAATTGTGTAGCAGCCCTTGCACGCCAGCAGCTGTGAGTCGTTGTTGCGGTTCTCAGCAAGCCCCTGCCCCCCCCCAACCCCAGACCCGCGCTGCCGGGTCTTTAACGTGGTCAGTTCCTCCAGCTGATGTCATCATTTAGCGGCTCTTCTCCACACCTTGGCCCATCCCTTTGTAACTTCATTTTGCTCTTTTTTAATAGTGTTTCCAACTCAAAAGAAAAAACAAAACCCACCAAAAAGCCCGATTTGACTCTTCATGAGGCTGGGTGCCCCACTCCCAGCTTCACACCCGGTGGCCGTGGGATGTGCACCGGGTTGATACAGAATTCAGTCCACCACGCTGAGAGGGCGCGTCTCCCGGGCCAGGGTGGGGCACCAGGTTAGGGGCGGCCTCCCGTCTTCTGGCTTTACTTCCCCGCAGGGGACACCGTAGGCGGCTGTGCGGTCCGGCCACTGCCCCCCGCCCCTCGCGTCCGGCCGCGCCGTGGGTTGCGGTCTCTGTGGGGGTGGCAGCTCCTGTCCGGGAGGTTTGCGCCTGGCGGGGCACCCCGGAGCCGCGGGGAGCCCAGAGGCGAGGCCCAGGCGGGGTGGGGCGCGTCCGGGCGGG